CACCCCTCACACCCCAAAAAAGAAAGAAACCAGCCGACCGAAAAAAGGAGAAAGCAGTGCAATCCGCAATTCCGTGTCCAGCAGCCGTTTGTCCCCGCGTCGCCCACGCCGGCACGGAGGCCGCCAGTTGCTTTGTCTGCAACCCTCAGAGCGGGAAGGGTGAAAACAAACCGATGGGGATTTAGAGGAGAGCAATCAAATTGATCAAGGGGCTGGCGGCATTAATGTAGGGAGGGAGGTTAAAAGATGTAACTGTGTGTCAATGCTAAATTTGAAGTAGGTAGGGTAAGAAGAATAGAGAACTTTTTCAAGAGGTCTGAGTGGAACAGAGGAATTATCTGAAGAGTTTTGCAAGCTTTAGTCAACAGCAATCGGGAAGAAAATGAAGGGAAGAAAGCGCGTGCTTAACGTCAAAAATAATGTCCTCATAGGGAGGCTTTGTCAAGCCAGAAAAAATCATTTGGAAGTTGTGCGAGCTCGATAGAGTCATTTGCAACTGGGCTGTGCAAATCATATTGCATATAAATAAGGTACTGTAGGGAACAGTTCTGTGCTGGAGGGAACATGGAGATGACAAAATAGCAGACCTTTCCCCTTCAATCCCTGGAGTTTTCAGGGAGGATGGCATGCAGCACAGTCAGCACCAGTGAATCTGCAAACTACAGGGCTTCATGGTTGCTTGTAAAGTAGCGGATGCAGCAGTGCTTCTATGGATGTCAAACATGGGCATGTCCCCAGTCTCTCCCAGCTCTCAGTTAGGCCAAGGTCCTGGGACAGGGTCCATGAGAGGAAAATTGGACAGGCAGACCCCAGGGCAATGGGAACGGCGTATGCAGAGAGCTCCCACCTGGACCACGGCAGAAAATGAACCCTGGCACGCAGCTGCAAGGCACACAGCTTGTCGGACCACCAGCCTTCTTCTTTAAATAAAAATCTCCGTCTCTTCTGGCAAATAATAGATCTGCCTTCATATTTCAGAAATCTACCTTAGAGCCACTAGGTATAGGCATCTATGAAATACGCAGAGAAATAAATAATTAAAGAAAATTTGACAGGAGTTATACTTCTCCAAGCACCCTGCTGCCATCCTTCTCTTTCATACCTTGATATACACACATCCTCAACAATTATTTAATTGTATTTATATTTTATAAAGTCCATTCTTAGGACCTGAGTGGGCTTAGGGAGGTCTGACAATGCGGCTGCATCCTGACCGCTGCTGTATGTGTTTCACGCTTCCATGCTGCCCTGCAGAGGTGGCACTTGCTCAGCAGTACCTGGCTCCAGAGGGGCACTGGGAGCCACGGGGTTGGGTACGGCCTCAGCCAGCGCTTCCTTGCTGCAGTTATTTTCTGACTCCCAGAATGGACCTAAGCTCTGCTTCCCAGAGGTAAAAAGCAAGTATTTGACTCAGCCTACCTGAAACACCATGAAAAACAAGAGATACTGATTCTTTCCTTAAGGTTTCAACTTTAGTCATTCATAACCAGTCAATCTGGTTGCTAGCATGGGGTCATGGTGGCAGGGACAATTTCATCTGGCTTACCTCCCCCTCTCTTGTGGACCCATGCTGGATGTAGGAATAACATACCCATGCCCACAGGTATTAAGGGCTTTGTTGTCAGACTGAGATTTTTGATGATGCCCCCAAACACAACCCATGCCATTGAAAAGACAAGCTATCCTTGATGCGTGATCAGTTTTGCTGTTTTCTTCCCCAAAATATACTCTCTGCTTTTGAAAGCTGTGAATGGAGAACGGTGTTAAGCGAAATAATAACATGTGTTGCAATGACTTAGTTCTCACCTCAGGGTATTCTTGTCCTCACAGCTATTCACAGCAGAAGAGATTTGTCACATACACGAGGGGCTAATGAGCTACCCACCTTGCAGACACCTACGGTTTGGTGTGGAGCCGTCCTCCCCTCAGGGCCTGGGTCATGCCTCTATAGCACTGTGCCTCACAGACCAGTGTTTTACTGTTGCATCTACCCCCTTAGTTACAGGTTGAAGAAGAGATGTTCATTTTGTGTACAAGTGGTAATACCATAAGGAAAAATTCACAGGTCACCAGACAATGCTCGATGGAGTGCTTGGTCTGAACCAGCGGGACAGTTTTCGGGACTACCACTGATAAAAGTTTGGGAGCCAAATCCTGGTTTTTGCAGGAGATCCAGTTGTAAATTGCTGTATTATTTAGTTTCATCCCTTCAGTTCTTTATCCCTGTGTCCCGAAGGACAGAAGAGGATGGTGCAGAGCTTGCTTTCTCCTCGAGGCAGTCTATATACAGCAGTACAACAAAGAGAAACCTCAGCCACATCTCAGTTGTTAGCTTTGGCACTAGAAGCAATATATCTACATTAACATGGTGATTTCCTCGGATTTTTTTATCACACTTTTCATCACGCACCAGGCGGTACCCCTGGTGGGGCTATACTGCTCTTAGGCCCTGAGGTAACTCACAAAACTCTGTGTTGCATTTTGCAAGGTGGACATGCACTCCAGCTGCTCTGCGCGGCGTATGTGCCTCATGTCTTACCTAAACTGGCACTCAATCCCCTATGCAGAGCTGGCTGAGAGTTAGGTCAGGAAGGGAATGCAGGGTATAGGATCAGGAAGGGAAGCTGGAGCAGATGACGAGCTGAGCAGAGAGATGCCTAAGGCACCTGTGAGCAAATGCCAGCATGTGAGCTGAGGCCAAATCATTCAATAAACTGAAATACCTGCTGAAGCACAGCCTGTATCCTAAGTCTTACCTGAGGCACCCCGACCACCAGGCGAGGAGATGGTGATGGCAAACTTCTGTTGTCTGCTGCCAAACTTACCTTAGTAAAGCCTCCTTCCTGGCTACTAGTGCTTGCCCACACCTCTGGCAGCACCAGTGGTGGCACAGATGCCAGCAGTGATGCTACATGCAGTTGCTGTTACTCGCTCTTATCCGTGAATGTTTATGCATTTTCATACAAAGCAGAGTGCTTCACAAGGGCTGACAGAGACACCCACCCTGGAAACGTCTGCGCTCATGGGCTGTGACACCCTCTGTGGCAGTGGGAGACCCCTGCACCACATCAGCTGGCCAGGGGATGCAAACCTGTGCCCCGGGGCCAGGGTGAGGGCTCGAGGCACTGGCAGCACCTCCTCACCTGCCTGAGCAACCTCTGTGTGTGCTGCATCGCAAAACATCCCTCTCTCCCTAGGGATAGCAAAACAGCACACGGGCCTTGGACACATGCTCAGATTGGGGAGATTGCACGCATGAGGTGTAAGAAATCAAGCAAAGAAGGGAAGAGACCAGCGTGGTTGAGACAGGAGATGCTGGTCAAGCTAAGGAGGAAGAGGGAACTGCACAGGCAGTGGAAGCAGGGACAGGCATCCTGGGAAGAGTATAGGGAAGTGGTCCGGTTGTGTAGGAATGGGGTCAGGGAGGCGAAGGCGCAGCTGGAGCTTAACTTGGCTAGGGATGCAAAGAATAATAAGAAGGGATTCTACAGGTATATCAGCCGGAAAAGGAAGGTTAAAGAGAGTGTACCCCCGCTGATAAGCTAAAAAGCTGGACATGAGCCGGCAATGTGCCCTGGCAGCCCAGAAGGCCAACCGTACTCTGGGCTGCATCAGGAGGAGCGTGGCCAGCAGGTCGAGGGAGGTAATTCTGCCCCTCTACTCAGCTCTGGTGAGACCTCACCTAGAGTACTGCGTCCAGCTCTGGAGCCCTCAGCACAAGAAGGACATGGAAGTGTTGGAGCGGGTCCAGAAGAGGGCTACTAAAATGATCCGAGGGCTGGAGCACCTCTCCTATGAGGACAGGCTGAGAGAGTTGGGCTTGTTCAGTCTAGAGAAAAGAAGGCTGCGGGGAGACCTGATTGCGGCCTTTCAGTACCTAAAGGGGGCCTATAGGAAAGAGGGGGAAAACCTTTTTAGTAGGGCCAGCTGCGTTAGGACAAGGGGTAATGGTTTTAAACTAAATCGGGGTAGGTTTAGGCTAGATATAAGGAAAAAATTCTTTACAATGAGGGTGGTAAACCACTGGAACAGGTTGCCCAGAGAGGTAGTGGAGGCCCCATCCCTGGAAACATTCAAGGCCAGGTTGGATGGGGCTCTGAGCAACCTGATCTAGTTGGCGGTGTCCCTGCTGACTGCAGGGGGGTTGGACTCGATGACCTCTAGTGGTCCCTTCCAACCCAAAACATTCTATGATTCTATGATTCTATGAGGC